TTGAATCCTGTCCTCCAAATACAGAAGTCTTATGTGAAAACAATCTCATTTTCATTTTGCATTCTGGGAAACCCTCCAAGGCACGGTGCATTGCCAGCTTTTTGTGACCTTCAGTTCCCTAACTGCTCCCAAGGGAAACTTGACCTTGGAACTGTAGAGAGGAGGGGAACTAGTTGGTGTGGGGCAGGGCAGAAGTTTCATTCTCCCTGTTTGTTCACTGCCCCAAGTGGATGGGTCCTCCTACACCAAGACCCTTAGAGCCTCTGAGGGCACAGAGATGGGGACAAACAGTGCAATGGAAATACACATTAATCCCAAAGCAAGGATGCATACAAGACTATCACGTGGGATGGAGATTTAAGATGGCCAGCCAGGAGCAGTTCCCAGAGAAGCATTTAGGAATAAAAACATTTGGTCCGGGGTGCCTGGGTGGCTCAGTGGGTTAAGCCGCTGCCTTCGGCTCAGGTCATGATCTCAGGGTCCTGGGATCGAGTCCCACATCGGGCTCTCTGCTCGGCAGGGAGCCTGCTTCCCTCTCTCTCTCTCTCTCTGCCTGCCTCTCTGTCTACTTGTGATCTATCTCTGTCAAATAAATAAATAAAATCTTAAAAAAAAAAAAAAAAAAACATTTGGTCCCCTGACCCCAGATGCAGAACTGATGCAGGGCTCCCTGACTCCTCAGAGCATCTTAGGACTGAAGTGAAATTCACAGGGCACAAGAATGCCTGCTGTAATTTTTGCTGGCTCCTAGAGGTATGGGGACTCCACCCATGAGAGATACCCAGTCTGCAGGAAGAGTTCCTTAGGTTTTCTTACGTGATCACAGGACACCTCTGGTCAGAGGGTTAACTAAGAGAGGAACTCTCTATATCAAGAGACACCCTACCCGGATACACCATCCCACAGGCAGGCAACCAGTCAGAGGACTGCGGGTTCTGACCTTTCACCTAGCGAGAACTGCTTTGATCTCTTAACTTTGCTTATGGGTGCATGGGTTGAATGGCTTTTGCCTTTAAGGTAGATTTTATTAACTATCAATTAGTATCTTCATTTCCACTGCTCAGTGAAAACCTAATTAGAGTAACAACATTACCACACTGACCTGATAGAATCGCAGCCAAAATCAAAGCAATCAACATTTGAGTAGGGCTCCGTAGCCTGAGAACAGGCTCTGTAGGTCAGTTGGAATTTTTAATTTCGGGAAATGGCTTGTATTATCCCGTTCCTACCATCTGTGAGTCTGAAAAACCCAGAAATCTGCTTGTGTAGTAGAAAAAAAGAGCAAAGAATTGGGAGCTGCGAGACCTATGGGACTTGGGAGCTGAGTGACATTGAGAAGGGCACTCACCTTCATTGAGTGTTGGGTTCCTTATGTGAAAGGATGTCATCTGAAAATGACACCGCCCTTATGGGGCTGTGATGAGATGAAAGAAAACCATATGGGGAGTTTTCACATATTTCCCTTTCTCAGAGAGAGACACTGGACTGCGGGGAAAAAAAAAGTCCTGGGACAATAAATGAAAAATTTGTCTCTGTATTACATTAAAATCAAATAAATCAACAAAACAATGTTTGTGAGTCAGGAGAAAAGGATGATTTTTTTTCGCCCTTTCAGAAATGGATCAAAATGCTGACCTGAGTGTGAGCTCTCTGTCTCTGTCTCTGTCTCTGTCTCTGTCTCTGTCTCTCTCTGTGGGTGTGTGTGTGTGTGTGTGTGTGTATGTGTGTTTTCTTGTTACTTTCCTGGAAGAGGGGAAAACTACTCTGATATTGGGTTTATGCTTGTATAGGATCAAGAACACCTGGGAGAGGGAGTCATAAATGTATATTCTGAGGATCCAAGCTAATCATTTAGAAAGGACTCCATACTCTTTTACACTTGGAATACAAATAGCATAGATACCATTGGGTATTTTTCCCAAAACAGAGTGCTAAAGAGCATGCGTTTTGGCCAGACAGACCCCAGTTTAAATTTCACCTCATCTTACTAGCTATCTGATATGCATGAATTGAGCAAATTGCATAAGTTTGTTATAAGGATTAAATTTTAGAAATGTAGATAAAAGGCAGTAGTTCACTTCCTGGTCATCAGAGGCCCTGGAGAAAGGTGAAATGTTTTATGAGGCTGTGTATTTCAGTTCCAACTTTTTCTCTTACCCTAATGTTTTAGGTCACAAAAATGATAGCATGTGAATACAGTTCATGTGCAGTCAGCTGTCTCAGAAAATGGCGCCACTCAGTGGACTTGGCAATGTGATCGCTATGTGTAATGCCTTTGCTATCACACACTGAGGTATGCATGAGGTGGGTCAGTATGAAGAAGAAATTCTTTGTTCAGAGATGTTTAGCCAACCACATCTCATGGTGGCATTTCTTTATCTTGATCTTGTAAATGCTCAGGAATTGCGGCTGTGGTGGAATTTCCACCAGATAGCTACTGGAATTTTTGGGATGTGTCTGAACAGAAATGAAATGGAGGTTGGTAGGAGAGGAAGACCTTACTCATTTACCGCTTGAATGACACCAACAAGCCATTTGGATTCCAGGCTAACACAGGTCTCTTTGGGTCACAGCTACCAGGAGCCTTGCTGTGATAGATGAAGGGTCCTCTTGCTTTAAGCCTCTTTCTGCCCAAGTCCCATGGATTTAGATGAGTGGATAAGAGCTGAGGTGAAGTGAAATTGTAATTATTTTTCTTAGTTCCTAGAAAAGGATTGGAATAGTGTTATTTGTTTTCCTGGAAATGGTTCAAACATCATACTTCAGTTGGGGCTCATGAATTTGAACCTCTGGAATAGAAAGGGGTGGCAATCTAGTCTGAAAATTCCCTGGGTTTACTTAAGAAATATTCAGGACCAGGAAGGCTCCACTGACCATCGCTATTAGGTCTGGGATACTTCTCTTTGCTCCCTGCCTGTTCCTTCCCGTTCCTTCCCCTCAAAGAAGGTCCTGTCTAGTCAATGCTGGTGTTCTGGTTACAGTGGGACCCAGCTGGCCTTGGGCATGGCAATCCACGACCCAGTGGAGAACCACCAACTCTGTTAGTCAGCCTTGTTTTCCTAGTGACCCCTCCCCCCAACAATGACCACACACCCACGATTTACATTCCCGCATGTGCTTAACTCTATGACCACTTCGCAAAAATGCTGGATTGGGAATGAGGAAGAATTTGGTAGAATCCTGACTCAGCCTCTGACTGAGTGAACTTGGGCAAGTTAATTAACTTCTGAGTTCTAACTTCCTAACTTGTATAAGGAATACTACTGTCTACCTTGTTTAGTCAATCTCAAGAGTAACCTCCTGCCACCTATATCCAATATGCATGAAATGGGAAGAAAAGCTTGGATATACTCTCAAGGGCCACCAGCATTATGGCCTAAGCTGGATGCTATGCAGAAAGGATAGATAAGACCTATCTGTTCCTAAGGCAGCCTAGGGTATTGTGGGTAAATCTGGCCAATAGACTGGAATGTTCTGACACACTCTCCACCCCCCCCCCAAACACCTCCTTCACATGCATTATCTATGAACATTCTCTGGAAGCCAGCCAGACGCACACTTAACATTTTACAGAGTTAGTATCTTCACAGAAATGTATCAGTTTCCATAATTCCTCACCACATTCCTGGGAGTTAGCCACAGACTCGCCCAGAATCACATACGGGATTTGTGTCTGGGCCACTCTCCACAATGGCCTTCACTCCCGCATCGAGTTAACTGCCTGAGCCACACAAAAATTCTGGCCACAAACCGCACTAAAGGGGATTCATTTAAGTTCCATAAATAATTGACAAAAACAGTGTCAGATGTTACCTTGTTGAGTAAACGACTCAACCCCTTCCCTAAAGGGAGTTTAGAAAAATAGGGCTTCTCTACCACCAGGGCTTCTAACAATAAGAGCTCGGAGCCATTGCGCAGACCTGACAAGTATATAGAATGACGATATGACAACCTTTCTGGAGGAGTCAGACCTAAAGCAGATGGATCATGTTTATTAAAAAGGACATATTTCTGGAATGTGTAGACTTGAAGGGGGAAAATTCCATGTTTTTTGGTAATTACTTAATAATCTTATTCCCCCCGGAGCGTCACTTAGTAACTTGTTCTCAAGTCTATTTTTCCCCTGTAGACCTCCGGAAGTAGGGGAAGCTTCTTCAAAGCCACAAGCGCTCCTGAGGGAGGAGACATCAAGTATTCAGTTTGCACAGGAGTCTTGTTCATGTTTATTTGTTGTTGAGCTAGGTGGGACCCTGTGGCATTTACAACTCTGAGTAAGAGAAAAACATCTCTGGTCAGAAGAGAAGACGGGCTCTGGCGGCAGAGAGTGGTACCTGCTACATTGCCTTGTGTCTGTTCTGTGGAGATAGTTAGGCATAGGCTTTAGTGGTCTTCTGTCAGAGTTTGGAAACAGCCTTTCATCAGTAAATGATTGACCTGGCTGCCCTGGGTGATAAGCTTAGGTAAACAGGCTTGATTCTGCTCCAACAATTTCAAGACTTTTAACTCCTTAGGTTCCAGGGCAGAAAAAGGCACATGGCTTCCTGCGAGATCCTGTCCTTAGAGTTTGGCAGCTTTCTGGACAGTATGTTCCTCAGAATTATAATGCCAACTGTTGTGCTAAATCTTGAAAGTGGAAAGAATTCATGCAAACAAAATTCTGGAACAAAGTCATGTTTAAAGAGCCATGACTAGTGGAAGAATTTCAAAAAATCACACATACGATTTTTATAACGAAAGACAGAAAACATTCTAAACCTTTGAAATATGTAGAGGAACAATGACGATTTTCAAAGGGGAGCGAGGATGGAAGAAATATACAGCCCTCTTTGCAGAATATGTTGGTGGACAAATGATTTTGAATTCTCTTGATATGCACCCATAGCTAACATACATCTAGACCTTCCACAGACCGTCATCAGAGACACCCTGGCTACAACACTGGGCAAAGTGCTTGTTTTATATTCTTGAGGGAATGGCCCATGACCAGACAGGTCGCCTACCTTGACTGCTGTTTTAGAATCTGGATTATCCTCTCAGATTCCGTCTTGACTCCGCAGTGGTGGCCCACGACTGTTCCAATCCTCGCTCAAGAGTTTGGGACGTTGGTAAGAACATCAACACAGGCTTTCACTTTTCCTCAAGCACCAAATCGAGGTGTTCCCCTCCATTTGCTTTCCTGCTTTCCCTGGCCCCTGCAGACAGCGGTCGCCAGCTGGGACTTCCTCGCAGTCAGGTATGTTGACAGATGTGAAGGAGGGAGCCTATGCTGGTCTCAGCTGCCTGGTCTGGCCAATCATTACAGACCAGGCCAGGCTCTCAGTCCTGCTCAAGCCCGATAGCAGCCGGCGGAGGCAGAAACCAGATCTGTTAGCTATTGACTATCCAGAAAAGCAGTGACCTTGCAACTGGATCTGTGAAGTAGACGAGGATATATGGGAGGAAAATCCTTTTAATTTCACTTCTTTTTCTTGTAGCAATCTCAGAAGAGAATTTGGAGGTCACTTTAGCCAATCTCTCATGTAATAGAGTTTCTTCTATTGAATTCTTGTCTGGTGAGAATCATCTGGAAATTCCTTGAACAGATCTGTCTGCCGCTTACTGAACATGCACTATATATTAGGCATTATATGTCTAGTATATCTAGTAGCATAAATCCTTATAGTAACCTTGAAATTTTATTCTTACTTTATAGATGAGGGAACAGATGCTCAAAGGGGTTAACTAGTCAAGCGGTGAGTAGGTCCTTCAAACAGGATTTGAACTCACTGTTCTAAAACTGTACCAATGTCAATGCACTTTCCATAGTACTCTGTGAGAGGCTGAAGAGCACCCAAAGAGGTCCATGCCCAAGTCCTTAGAGTCTGTGGCTATGTCACCTTACATGGTAAAAAGGCTTTTGTAGATGGGATCAAGTTATGAATTTTGAGATAGGACATTATCCTGGAATATCCAGGTGGATCCAGTATATCATATGGGTCCTTGTAAGACGCTAGAATCAAAGGAGACATGGAGACAGAAGTGGAACCAGAGAAAGATTAAAGATGCTATGCTACTGACTTTGAAGAGACAGAGAGGGGCCACTGGTCAAGGATTGGCTTCTAGAAGCTGAATAGGCAAGGAAATGAATTCTCCTCTAGAACCTCCAGAAGGGATGTTGCCCTGCTGGCGCATTCTAGACCTGGGACTCTAGACCTGAAAGATAGCAAATGTGTGCTGTTGTGAGCCACTAAGCTTATGGTGACTTATTATAACAGCAATAGAAAACTCATACACACTCTCTCAGAAATACTCTGCCTGATGGTGAGCTCATGATCTCAGCTAGGAATGCTTTTTATTTAGCCAAGCTCTGCCTTCTTGAAATGTTAACTCATGAGTCCTGGCTCTTCTCTGCATATCAGGCACTCAGGGAGGCAGTTGCAAATGTTGGGAAAGGACACTGGGCAGAAACTCAGAGATCAGGTTCTAGTCCCAACTCTGCCTTGGGCCAGTCTTTTCTCTCTGACTTTCAGTTTTCTCTCCTGTGTAACATTAGCACCTGGACAAAAGTTCTTTGGTTCTTCCACATCTAAATTCGTAAGATTCTAGTATCTCAGTCATGTAACAATTTGGAAATACTTGATGATATCCCCATCATTTCCTCAGTCTTTTCTAAACTCAATATCCCTAGTTTCTCATGTGTTATGACTTCTAGACCCTTCACCCTCCTAACTGCCTTTCTCTGGAAAGGCTCCAATTTGTGTTCCTCCCTCTGGAATGTGGTGTTCAGACTTGTGTAGGGTGCCCAGCCACCTCCACCTCCGTGTCTGCCAGTGTGTCTGGTTTCTCCCATTTCCCACCGCCCTCTCATGCCAGAGCCCACCTAACTAACCCTTAGGGTCTTTTGGACTTGCTTAGTCTGTTTCCTCTTATCTTATTGTATTCAGCTCTACCTCTTGAAAGAGAGCATCCAGAATCAGCAAATTCATATGAGTCTTAGTTTAGTTCATTTTTTTTTTAAAGATTTTATTTATTCATTTGACAGAGAGAGATCACAAGTAGGCAGAGAGGCAGGCGGAGAGAGAGGAAGAAGCAGGCTCCCCACTGAGCAGAGAGCCCGACTGGGGGCTCGATTCCAGGACCCTGAGATCATGACCCAAGCCGAAGGCAGCGGCTTAACCCGCTGAGCCACCCAGGTGCCCCTTTAGTTCATTTTTTTAAACAGGAAAGACCAAGGCCTATGCTGGCTGTCTTTGCTTGCTTAACAACCTTTAAATGGTAGTTCATTCTCACAGGTACTTGAAAGAAAGTGCTATGTACATTTCTTAGGATCATAGTTTCCTCTAAGAATGAGGAGAGCTACAGATGCCCTACTAGAAAGAAGTGCACATGCTTCCAAAATTTTGTGTGCGATGTCAGGGTATTCTGGCCCCACTGAGGTAGCCCACTGACACCTCTGACGTGTGGCAAGTTAGTTCTAGGCCCACAAGGTTGTTGGGGAGGAGGAAGCTTTTGCAAAAGGCAATCGAATGTCTTCTTCCAGATCTACTGACACTTCACGGAAGCCTAGAAATGAGACTGCTAGGCCCAGGTTGAGCAAACACCCATTAAGGATCAAAGCAGGAAAGACTTTAGGCCACAAAGCGGAGACATTCTCAGGTTAAACAATGAATAGCTTTCAGTGGCCCCCTTTTGCAATGAGAGCTCTGCTTCTTGGAGCCTTTCTCCAGAGGATAAATCCATTCTTTAGACACAAGGCCCCTTAGATTGAAGCCATCTGCTTGCCTAAGGCTTCTCTCAGTTGCATGACGCTACTGGACGGAGGCTGACACTCCTCTGTCCCCCTTCCCCACCATGCTCTCCAAAAACACTGCCCAGCTGTATAAACAGCCTGGCCTGACTAGCACTTTTGTTTAACTGGCACATGCCCAGGCCGTCCTGGGTGAGGTTTGAGGCACATGGGCTTTAGCCACTGTCCCTCCCTTGCAACTTTCTACCCTCCCTGAGAATGAAAGGTTTCAAGTCTTAAAAATAATAACACTCCTTCAGTCCCAGTTAGCAGATTTGCAGAGGGATAAACAAAGAAACATACTGCTGATCAAGAAGAATTCCTTTGGGGGAAGAAAACACATGCACATACACAACAAAAATTTGGGGCATCCAAGCATGCTAACCTCAGGGATTCATAGAGAAGGACTCACTTCCCAAGTTGAAGAAGTGGGGTTTGCTGTCCACACGGTGTGTAACCCCAGGGCGTGGCTGTCAGCAGGACCACGTGACTAGGACACCTCTATCCTGCCCTTTTACACTGCCACACAGGATGGCTGGGAAAGAGGGTGGTCGGGGTATGGACTTCTACAGGAGACATGTAGAGTGAAAAAAGAGGATGTTCTGTCTCAAATAGTTTGTTTATATACTTATTTCTTTAGTTAAGGATGTTCAGAAAGAGCACAGCCAGACCCAGTTCTTGACCAAAGTGTGCAGTAGAATCAACAGCAGTTTTTTCCAACCTGGAAAGGATCATAAACAAAGGTTATTCCCATAGCTTCACAGCGGAATTTTTAAAAAAAATCTATTTTGAAAGGAAATTTTATATCACTGTTGAAAAACCCAGTATCACTTGCCATAAAGAGAAGGTAACCATAGAATTAATACAATGCAAACAAAATGGTATTAAATGTTACCTGGAGGCTACTGCCTTTTTAAAAATTTTTGCTAGGTAAGACAAGGGTTATGGGGATTTCATCATTCAGCTGAGACTTTCCTCTCTCCCAGCCAGAATGATTAAATGATTAATGACATGAATGCTATTCAAGGATGGGGCCACTTTCCACCCCACATCATCTGGGATACCACCAGTGGCGTGAACCCCACTCATTCCCTGAGCCAAGCAGAGCTGGTCCAGTGATCATGCAACTTCTCTCTCACTGTCTGAATTTATCTGCACCCCTTCGTATGAATTAGTTTCTGCTAAATCATTTGCCAATCAACACAAGAGTTAGAAGTTAGCCATGGTAAAGGGATCATGCCAGGTACTGGGAGGAGTGGGTGGAAGGTCTCCAACTAAGAACTACTCTTGAGAATTTATTGAGTGCCAGGCTCTGGGCTAAAATTCTCTCTGTATAGTTTCTTATGTGGACTTCTCGTTAACCCATCAGAGGAGGTGTGATTAGTCCTATATCCTATAGATTTAGAGATGTTAGTTTGCCTAAAGTTACACAGCCAGAATGTGCTAGAGTTGGGATAGAAGAAACACAGGACTGTGCATCTCTGAAATGCCTGTTGCTATAGCTTCTGTGCTAAATAGAACATTCAGAACCCAGTTACGATATGAAATATTCATTGGTACATAATACACTAGCTCCATTCTCATGAGTAATGTCTCAACCCAAGTGTATGTCCAGAACTTGAGGCCGGCCAGTGAAGTCTTTGCAATTACCCCATGCAGGTTTTACCCGCTTTGTTTATGTTTAGACCCAGCCTTATCTTCATCATGTAATTTTTTATTAAAACCAAGTGGGAATGACTGAACGTGGTGCGTATGAAAGCCAACCAGAGGACAGTATGGTAGTTTATAGACACTAGAAATACAGGTGAAAAATCTGACCATGACATGTTCTTCAATTGCTACATTAACTTGAACGGAAATGTGATTATCCCTAATTAGCTGTTGTAACATTCAACTCTATGAAATGAATGATTAACATGGAATTAATTTCATCTCTACTAAATTCATACACAGGACTTTCACCTCAATGCATTATTTTTGTAAGGCATAGGGCAAAAAGAGAAATTCACCAAAATTAAGTGGGTTCAGGTATTCTACTAAAAAGAATTAGGAACAAGGAAAATATTGGAATCTTCATTGTCAACAGGGCCCGGATACCCACTCTTACTGACTCTGTGTGTGCACAGACACATAGTCTGCTCTGCATTGTTCTATCTCCAGTCATTTGGCAGTCACTCAGAGTAATGTGGGCTGGAGATGGTGGTTGGGTAAGAATATGGAGGTCAGTGGGACCTGGTCTAAGTCTACGAGAAACAGCTAAAGGGTTGGAGGTGAAGCTCAGAAAGGCACAGGTGACAAGGCTGCACACACATTTCATGCTAGTCTTGGGGACTGTGGGCATGGTCAGCCAATTCCCATAGGTCTTCATCCAATATCATATGACAAGACAGCTTACTGATGCTGATCCTCTAGCCTTTAAAAAATATTAGAAGTGGGCCCATAATAAAATGCACACAGAAACAAGGAAAATGCCTGCTGAAGTTTTATATTTATTATTAGGTTTAAGCCTATTTAGGTAGTTCAAATAAAATACAAGAAAAGACATTATGTCATCATATCTATTAATTTTTTTTCACAGTTAAAATGAGGTAATCCGGCTTTACAATGTTTTAGGTTGAATTAAGCAGTGTGATCCAGTTTATAAGAAAGAAGGAAAAATATATTTGAAAAATGATTTCCTAGGGGGGGGAAAAAGCCAAGTGAAATGTGTGTGAATAAGATAATTAAGCCACAAAATACATTTCAGAGTACCAAGCAGGATATATGTAAAATTTTCACTCTAACCTTTAATTGGTATAGTTTATTATTATCATTTTTTACTTAACTTAGCAAACAGCATGCACTGTAATATAAAACAAGCCTAGAGGACAAACATAATATCTAATAGAATATTTCTCAGATTCACATGTCATCTGAATTGACCAAGACGTATTTTCACTATGATAATCTCTGTGTTTTCTAAGTGCCGATCGGTGAGGTTAAGTATTACAATTGGCATATTATCCAGTATGAACAATGCATATACAATCTGTATGTGATACTTATTAATACTGGGGCATAAGCCAGAAAGTATAGTAGCAGCAAGGTAGCACTGTGTCTAGAATATGTTCTCAGATTTATCATATTGATATCACAGATTCGTGACCACAGTGTTATTAGTGCTATAAACTAACAGCAAATGTAAAACTGTAGATATACAAAGCGACTGAGGGTCTATTTGACTTCAAAGTGCTATGCTTCTCATTGGGCTCCATGCTTGAGAGCGAGCTCCTACTATTTGAATGAAGCAGTGGCCCCCGGTTCTGGGTTCCAATCATATTCTGTGTGTGGCGGTGCGGGGGTGGGGGCAGAATTACGCAGTCACCACCATGATAAGAATGCATTTGGACATCATTGAATGCGTGTGCCTTTTTGTGTAAGTTTTGCCAGCATTCTGTTATTCATCGTGACCAGCAGATGCTAAAGGATACCCAAGAGACAAGAGGGGAAAATGGTCTTCTGTAGAGATCAGAAGGAATGAGATAGGAAAATGCCTCTTGACTATGGATGGGGTTATCTCAGCAGACTGTGGGATTGAGTTCCCAGTGAAGAGAAGAAAAAAAATGTTGTATCCAAACTACATAGGCTTAGAAACGAGTCTGAAAATTCTTAAGAATAAGTTTTGTTAGAGAAAAGATAGAACACTGTTAGCCACTGCAGGATTGAAAGAGTTCTCTTAGAATACTTTTATAGCATGTTAAGACACAATTTCAACAATATCAATAGCATTTTGTACTGTATTCTTCCGGGTTAAGGGTCCATGTAGCAATATAGTAGCTTTAATGTCAATATTTCTAGTTGGAAGCCGGGGAAGCCAGAAGATAAGGAGATAGTACGTCTCCTGGGGTAGTAAAGAGCTGTTCATGATCACTGGGAATTAGAGTCAATTTCCAGCTAAATCACTTATCACCTAACCAATTCACTTCTGTGTATCCCAAGGTGACATCTGTGAGTGACAAAGTTGTGATGGCAAATACTAGAAAGCCATCTGAGGCAGAAGGCCAAGGAAGACGGGAAATTTTGAGGGACAGCCATGTTCTATGCCACAGAAAACAAAACTTCCTGCCAGGATATTTGATGTTATCAGTTTCTGTTCATTCCCTCAAGCATAACATGACCGTTTAGCATGCACTTGGGAAAGCCCACCTCTCAGGAACTCAAGTGCTTGCCAGCTGATTTCACGCAGCTCCACTCATCTCATTCGACGCGAGTGTCATGCCAGTTCCATCATCCTACACCACACTTTTGAGAAATGAACCCAAATAGCATTTCTTCATACATGCAGCACAGGAGGAATGAGTAGGAGACATATAATTTAACCATAAGGGGCCTGATATTTTGGGGAGCTAGTCCACCAAGGTTTGCAGAACAGCACTAATGTGGCAGATAGCATCTTTATTCCAGATTAAGGATCCAAGGCAGATGTAGCACAGGGTCACTGAACTGGAAAGCCACGAGAGAGAAGTCTCGTGGCTGGGACCCACTTGTTAGCCTGTTCCGTTTCCCAGAACCTCCCAGTAAAAAACTGTAGTCAGCCAATAAAGAACATTACAAAAACTTCACCAGGGCACGAACTCATTTGATGAGATGGCCTGAAGTTGTGTAGCCCTAGTGCTTCCATGAAGAGAAACCATTTCATTTCAGTTGGAATTTCTTCTGTTTCTCCACCGTTAGCTTAGCACTAAAGCTTAGCACTAAACTTTCTTACCACTTTGTAATCACATCTCTTTGGGGGACACTTTCTTATGGCAGGATTCAGAAAAACAGAAACAAAATCTTGACCCACCACAAAACGGCATTTCGTTCCGGAGTGTTCCACCACGTTACCTTCTTGAACAGAAACATCCACTTTGTGATGTGAATGTGAGGTCATGAAAGAAGAACTAGGATTCTTAAGATTAATCATGACCTGGGCTCAGATCTTGTGCTTTTCCTTGAGTTTATATAAAAATCCTGGGTTTGGACTGTGGCCTAACTATTCTCAAGAATTCTCAAGAATCCAGGGGTCTGGACTCAGTGCTGAGGAAATAACAAAATGTAATTATTAGAGGTCTCATACAGCATATATATAATAGTTCTTGGTATGACCCTCGTCAGTTTGCCATTAGTTTAAGATTTAAACCACAATCATTTATCATCCCTTCCATCAGTTCCATCTTGACTTATCTCTCCAGCCCTAAGAATATCTTCTGTGCCCATAAAACCACAGTGGTACCTCTTATAGGCTCCAAGTTCAAGCCTTTAAACAGTGCTCTAATCTAACTGAAACCTGTGATTGTCCCCTTGGCCACAAAGCCATGGAAATGTGGCAAATGGTCCAGAGAGTTCATGAAAAACGCAGCCTACATTTCAGAAGAACTATGGCCCCAAATCCTGTGAAACGAAAGCCCTCTTTGGCTCAGTCAAGTAGCTCTTTAGTTGATCTTGGAAGTGAATTCTGAGTAAGCATGATAGCCTTGTTTGATCTTGTGAGAATAAATGATGCGGTTGGGTCAACCATTTTTATGTCATAGACCGAAAGTCTATATTGTCCCTCTGTCCCATCACAGAGTCTCCTGCTTGGCCTTAGGTCCAAGAGCAGAATGCATACCTCCTTTGCGATATGGTGAACGACTTTTTCTTGGAGCAGAGATTCTGTCAGTTCAAGGGTGTTTATCAAGGGCGAACTGCAAATAATCTTGCTCCCATCTCCCAGAACTCCTGGGCAGAATTTGAGAATGCAAGCCAGGCTGGAAACCCAGAGCAGTAAGAAGGGACAAGCACCTGCACTTGCCACATAGAGCAGGACTCCATGCCCATGACCTTGGGACCATTTCCTGTGCTTTTGTGTCATGCTTGATGACTTTTCTCTTACCAGGCAAATACTGAGATGCACTTAAATGTTACAACCCAAGTGAAGTGCAATTATATCTTTTAAAACGAAAGGAAAAAAATCAAGTAAACATTTCACTGAACAGTCAGCAGCCCTTGGGTGTCACTGGCATCCTGTGTAGGTCCCCGCCAACACACCTGGCCTCATAGCACCAAGCACCTGGACAAAGCTGAGGCTCAAATAAAACAGAGCAGAGTAATTCTCCTCTTGCCTCCTGATCTCTTTGCCAAGTTACAAAGGATTAAAAGAGGGGAGACCATCTAGTCCCTAGCAATCAATCAAGAGTTAAAAATAAGACCAAAATGAAACAATAACAACACAAATAAAATCCTGAGGGTAGGCCAGGGATTTCCAAGCTTGTCACTGGGGTTCAACAGCAGAACTGAAGAACAATTGAAAAAGCGAGGGCACTTCTGTTCTTACTCCTTTCCACGGAAGGCCCTAAAAACGGACAGTACAATCCCAGAAACCTGTCGGAGTGGGGGTTCGAATGCAAGAACAAGGAAAAATTACACCAGATTTTCCCAGAGGCATTTGTGTGTGACCCCCCCTCCAGCCGCGGGAGCTAAAGGTCAGGGATGAACCGACTTTACAGAGACGCTGGAAGAGTGCGAGCTGCGCGTGCGCGTTCGGGAGCTCGCCCCTGGGGCCTGCCGCCACACAGCCGGCAGTGAGCACCAGCAAAGGAGGAATGGCGAGCCGCTTGGGGGGATGGCCCAATGGTCCTTACGCATACACATATCTGACCAGGAGTCCATGTTTATCTTTCTGCCTTAAGAATCCAGAGGTGACTTTCCTTAGGGATCCTCAGACAGATCTGAGCAGCATTGGCATGTACACACACCCATGCCCAGTTTTCTTTCCAGATCCTTCCTTTCCAACCCTCTATAAGAGAGTCTCCCTCAAGAACTGAGGGTTCTTCATGACCCATTGCATCCTCAGGCCCCCCGTTCGGGGCCCGGGAGGGGCTTCTCTGCTTTGGGCCACACTCACACAATGCACACTGTCCCGACAGGACTGGGGGAGCTGGGAACATCTGCAGGCGAGTCAGAGGTCACTCAGAGGTCACTCACAGTCCTGAAATGCACAGGCCTGTTGAAGAGCAGGGCAGCGTCGGCCTGGGTGAGAAGAGTTCAGGCAGCTCCTTTGTGAGTGCTCTTGAGGTAAGAAGCACTGAAGATAATTGATCTATAAATAAATAAATGGATAAATAAATAAATAAATAAATAAACAAACACACAAGAGGGCTTGCTCTAGATAAGTACCTCTTATCCATTCAAAAATTAAAAAAAAAAACAAAAAACAAAATCCCCTCTTGAGTGTCGCAGCCCTCGTGCAGAGGCGTTAGCAGGCTCAAGACAACCTGCAAGAAGTAGAGCTATCAAGACACAAACTGGAAATGTTCCAACACCACACATCTCTCACTTGATGACACACAAGTCATCCTGAATGTCCCCGAGGTAGTCTGGTTTTCAAGGAGTTACAGAACAGCTCCAAACCCGCTCGGAGCTTCCTCCTCAAATCCATTGCACTTCCCCACGCATCCTGCGGCTGTCTCCGCGGTGCCACGGTCGAGACGCCTTCCGTTAGCGTTAATGTTAGCGTTATGCCTCACAGCGCAAACCTGGGTCCTCGGCAGATGGCAATGAAATGCAATTCCAAGATCTGGCTTGAAGATGCCATTCCAAAGAGGGCTTTGCCAAAATGAGGCAGGAGTTTACCTAGCAGCCATTTTGGGAAAAGCTTGGAGGATTAAACCAAAGAAATGCGGCATGCAGCACACATGCATGTCTGTCTCTTGTTGGGCCCCACACTGAAAGGACCTTCCACCATTGTTCCTTTCACTTTTGAGAAGGGGCCGAGAGAAACTGAAAGGAATCAATGTTTTACAACTGGGAAACACATTTTGATACCAGAGGCAATGTGCACTGTTTATACAAAGAATGAAGGTGCCCAGTTCTCAAGCAGAAGCTATGTAAGAACAGCTTGTGGCTGGAATGGCCTGGTGACAAAGAAGTCTTACTCTCCCGGGGAAGAAGTGGTGACATTCAGCATGCCAGAGAGAACTGGTGCTGGCCCTTTTCTCCCTCAAAGCCCCAGGGTGATGTTAGAGCCACCCCACAGGGCCTTCCACACATGCCATGAGCCATTCTTTTGCCTAAGAGTGCCTTTCTGGTTCAGTCTTCTCACAGGCTCACACATAACATCCTGGAAGACAGCAGGAAACCGGGTCAACTCAGAGACACTCAAAGGAAGCTGGAGACCCCATTTCCACATTACATTCAGCATCATGAACCACGGGGGAGACCCTGACTTTGATCACACGAAACATGCTTCTTCCCTTGGACTTCAGTTTTTTAAAAAGTCTCATTTGGGAAAAATGCAACTGAAAGCTCTGTAATTTTATCCAAATGGCCCTAGGAAGAGGGGAAAACGCCCTCCCCCTCCTCCTTCCCCGTCACTGCCAGGGGCTGTCCTAACAGGAAACCCTTCAGAACTCTGGCCTGGATCAACAAAGTCAACACTAAAATAAAAATCAAATCAGCATTTAGCCAGAGCTCTGTCCTCCTGGAGGAGGTCATTCAATTCAATGACAGTCGTGGCGAAATCCACCAAGTCCACGAAGTCAGATGTGATGATGTTGACACCCGTGGTCCCAGGCTTCTGAGTTTTCACCCAGTCCAGGATGGCAGGAAGATTTCTACATGGGAGACAGAACAAGAGAGTAGAGTTGAAAGGACTCCTCCAGAAATGGAAACAATGCATTTCCATCGATATAACAAAAGTATGTCAATAAAAGCACGAGTCCCCCACAGTTCGCCCACTGAAGCTTTAGATCTCGTTCAGGGATGAAGTGATGTCTATTCCAACAGAGAACTGTATTTGCAGGGTTTCTGTGCTGGAAGAGGAGATTATCTGCCTCAAGCACCAAAGAGATAACTATGTCAGGAGGACCTTGAAAGACTAAGACCAAGATTCTAATTATTGGTCGGTTCTCTAATTTTTGTTTAATCATGAAAATTTTCAAACATATTGCAACACTGAAAGAAATTTATAGTAAGGGCATGCACCACTTAGCTTCTACCACTAACATTTTATAGTACGTGCCTGCCACATAGCTGTCCATCCACCCATCACTCTACCCTTTCATCAAGACATCTTATATTTTTGACAAATTCCAACTGCAATGATCTACACACATGCCCCAAATACCCCAGTAGGGATATCATTAACAAGGACTCAATATTTGTTTTAATTTTTCTTTTGACATAAACTTGCATCCAATAAAATGGGCAACTCTTCAGTGTGCACTAGTTGAGCTGTGACAAATGTATACAGATAAAGCACACACGTGTCGAGGTACAGAACATCACCAGTGCACCAGAAGTTCCCTGCATGTTCCTTCCTCATCAATCCTGGCCAGCATCCTCCCAGGGGCAACAATGATTCTAATTTATTTTTCTACCATTGATTCAGTTTGCCTGTTCTAGAACTTCATGTAAGTTCACGCAATATGTCTTCTTTTGTGTGACGCTCTTTCACTCAGCATTATGGTTTTGGAATCCATCCACGTGGCCGCACCCATCAATAGCCTGTTCTTCGTCTGAATCACTGCACTATCCCACTGCATGAATTACTGTAGTTTGTTTACCCATTTTCTCATTCATGAGTAAATGGGATGTTACTAATTTTTGGATATTATGAAATAAAATCTTTAAAAAAAAAATGGGACGCCAGGGTGGCTCAGTTGGTTGAATATTATGGCTAAAACTGTTAAGGGCATTCTTATCTCAGTCTTTTTGCGAATCTTTATTTTCATTTCTTTCAGATAAATACCAAGGACTGGAATTGCCTTATTACATGGTAGGTTTACATTTAGTTTTTTAAAGAAACTTCCAGATCTCTTCCCAAAGAGGCTCTTCCATTAAATATTCCATTCAACAAAGTATGAGAGTTCTGGTTGCTTCACAGCAAAATTTGGCACGATTAGTCTCTTTAATTTTAGCTACTCTAGGGGGTACGTAAAGATACCTAAGAGTGTTTTAATTTGCATTCTTCTAATGACTAATAAGCCTGAGCCATTTGTAATGTACTTATTGGCCACTTGTACGTCTACTTTGGGAAGTACCTGCTCAATTCTTTTACCCATTCTTTTCTTTTATTCTTTTTCTTTTAATTGTTGAGTTATAAAAGTTATTTATATATTGTAGACACGAGTCTTTTCTCAGATATGCTTTTTGATATTTTATCCTTGCCTATAGCCTGCCTATTAATTTTCTTTTTTTTTTAAAGATTTTATTTATTTATTTGACAGAGAGATATCACAAGTAGGCAGAAATGCAGGCAGAGAGATAGAGAGGGAGGCAGGCTCCCCGCCGAGCACAAAGCCCGATGCGGGACTCAATCCAAGGACCCCGAGATCACGACCCAAGCTGAAGGCAGCGGCTTAAGCCACTGAGCCACCCAGGCTCCCATAATTTTCTTAATGGCCTATTTTGGTGAGCACAATTCCTTAAATTTTTATCTTTTTTAATTTCTGTGACCTATCTAGGAAACTTTTCCCAGTCCCAAGTCACAAAAATATTTTCCTGTTTTTTTCTATAAGCTTTGTGGCTTTCACTTTCCTGTTAGATCCCAAAACCATCTCAAGCTAATTTTTATATATGGTATGAAGTAGGGGTTGGGGTTCACTTCTCCCATATGGATATACAGTTATTTCAGAAGTGTGAGTGGCTTCTTAATGGACCAATGCTGACTCAGTAGTCTCACAAACACGGCTGGTCACATTTTACAATTCAAGGATTTTCCATGTAATAGCCAGAATGTTTTGACCAAAGCAGCTCATAATTTAGTGACATCAACAAGTAACAACAATTTAATGTGATACCTTCTGTATTAGCAGGAAATGTAAATATCATGGAGGGCAGAGAGGAGGGCACAGTGAAATGTATGCCGTAGTCTGGCATCTGGGGAGACTTTAGGGAAGACAAAACCCATGGTTTATGTTTTGGTTAAGGAACTTGAGATTTTTTTTTTTCCTAAGATTTATTTTATTCACTTATTTGAGAGAGAGCAAGAGCAAGCAAGAGTGTGGATGAAGAGGGAGGATTAGAGGGAGAGGGAGAAATAGGCTCTCTGCTGAAAAGGGAACCTGATGCGGGGCTCAATCCCAGGGCCCTAGGATCATGACCTGAGTCAAAGGCAGACGCTTAACCAACTGAGCCATCCAGCCATCCTGGGGCTGGAGATTTTTCAGGAAGGATTTGCTCTAGGCCAAAATTAAAAATACTTTTATCTTAAGGGGCTCCTTTCTCTTCCTCTGGTGATGTTCTCCTTGGTTGTCATCTTCTCTTTCCAAGCTGCCCTCCCTTTAAGCATACATCCTGACTTCTCAGTCTCCTCCTAAATGACCCTGTCAAGACCTTGCTAGCATTTCTTTTTCTCTTCTCACGACAACAATGGTCAGTCCTGGGTCACTTCCCTCACTCAGTGAACTCAAGAACTGGCCATGGGCTAGAAAACGCATTTCATAAACCAATTTGCATTTTTATGTTAGTAGGTTAATTAGGATTTAGTAAGCTGCCATCACAGGAGTAAGTCCATTTTTAACTCGGTCTCCTGAAGATTTAAATCACCTCAATTAATCACCACCTTAACTTCTTCAATTTCTTCATGCCTCAGTCTCTCCCCCTGTAAAATGGGGATACTACTACTACTTATCTCATGTAGATTTGGTGGGAGGGGGGTTAAATAAGGTAATACATGTGAAGTGCTTAGAACTTCGCCTGGGATATAGTAAGAACTAGGTGAGTGTTTGGCATGAGAGGAGAAATCATACATGGTAGAGTGTAGGGTGAAGATATTTTGCCAAGGGTGAGGTGCCACAGGTACAGTCTTCCTTTGGCGATAGAGACCTAGGATACACAGTGGCCCACAGGAAGGCCACTGTATTCCTGAGCCTGACCCATTCAAGACTTCTTTTTCTTTTCCTTTTTTTTAAAAAGATTTATTTATATATTTTAGAGAGAGAGAGACACACAGACAGAGACTGGGGGGCAGAGAGAATCTCAGACAGATGGCGAGCTCAGCACAGAGCCCCACTTGGGGTTCTACCCCCGGACCCTGAGATCACAACACTAAGATGACAATGTGAGCGGAAACCGAGTCAAGCCGCTTACCCGACTTTGCCACCTGGGTGCCCCAAGAGGAAGGAACGTCAAGCCAGTAGCCAAGCTGTGGCACCGCAGTGGAGATGCTTCACCAACAACCTGCCCCATCTACCCATGAGACTCCTGTGCAAGAAGATAGAGAAACGCAACCTCAGATTGCGCCAGTGGAACTTAAACTCCAGGGAGCCTCCGACGGGAGCTTATCAGAAACGCAAAATGGAGATATGTCTGAAGAAACAGTGGGAGGTGGGAAGGTTAAAAAATCCCTGAAACGGTCTGTGAGTGGAGGCTCATCAGAAGCCCAGAATGGAGAGAGAACTAAAGAAACAGTGGAAACTGTACAAGTTAAAAAAGAAAGAAAGAAATCTACCATAGTAATCAATGGAGAAGCACCAAACAGCCTCCCAATTCAGAACCAAAAAAGAGGAAGAAAAAGAGAAAAATGGTGGATGATGCCAGGCCTGATACCGAAAAAGCGAAAACTGAGACAAAGGGGACTCTGAAGAAGGGACCCAAGCTCCCAAAGAGACAGAAAACAGTGTGGAGAAGCCGATGATCAGGAAGAGGACAGTGAAGTGCCCAGTCTACCCCTAGGTAGTCCTATCCTAGGACTGACAGGAGCTTCTGAGGATACTTCCTTTGCTTCTCTTACCGATCTTGTCAATGAGAACACTCTGAGGGCAATAAAAGAAATGGGTTTTACAAAAATGACTGAAATTCAGCATGAAAGTGTCGCACTTCTGGAAGGCGGGGACCTTCTAGTGGCCGCAAAAACAGGCAGGGGCAAAGCGCTGGCATTTCTCATCCCTGCCCTCGAACTCATTGTCAAGTTGAAGGTCATGCCTAGGAACGAACCGGAGCTCTTATCCTCTCACTTGCTAGGGAACTGGCCATGCAAACTTTCAGTGTTCTTAAGGAGCTAATGACACACCATGTTCACACCTACGGGTTGACAATGGGCAGCAGCAACAGATCAGCGGAAGCACAGGAACTTGGTAATGAGATCAACATCATCGTGGTCACCCCAGGCCCCCTCCTGGACCCCATGCAGAATACTCCAGGATTTATGTCTAAAAATCTACAGTGTCCGGTTATTGATGAGGCTGATCGTATCTTGGAGGTTGGGTTTGAAGAGGAATCAAAACAAATTATTAAACTTCTGCCAACACGCAGGCAAACCATCCTCTTTTCTGCCACACAAACTCGAAAAGTTGAGGACCTGGTGAGGATTTCTTTGAAAAAGGAGCCATTGTATGTTGGTGTCAATGACGATGAAGCTAATGCCGCAGTGGATGGTCTTGAGCGGGGCTATGTTGTTTGTCCCTCGGAAAAGAGCTTCTTCTTGCTCTTTACATTCCTTAAGAAGAACCGGAAGAAGAAACTGATGGTTTTCTTCTTTTCATTCTGTAAGTCTGTGAAATGCCACCGTGAGTGGCCGAACTACATCGATTTGCCCGGCCAGTCATGGAAGGCAGAAGCAAAATAAGCATAGAGCCGCATTCTTCCAGTTCTGCAGCGCAGATTCTGGGAT